AGTGCAGGAGGAATAATAATGACCGATATCTCAGGGGCAAGGATTGCAAGGAGGAATAAGCTCAAGACTGCAATGCTCTGCAACTATTAAAATGTCTGCGCAAAGGCTGCATCGTCATAACGCACCTGATTCGGCTAATGACTCCTGGAGCTGTTGCAGCTTTCTTTTTTGCTAAGGGAAGTGATAAAGATGAGAAAAAACGGGATGGGGCCCTGCTGGTGGACAATAAAGGCTCACAGCAGGTATGAAGTATGCATTGCTGTAAAGACATTTGCGGAGAGCTTCCGACTAGCAGGGGGGAATACGACGGGCCTCTTTAAAGAGAGTTCTTTATGCCACTTCATTGTACTCTTAAATAAGCCTACTCAAGATTCAGCCCGGATGCTATTGCCAACTCTTTACATCCCCATCCTTGTGGGGACAAGGATGATCATTCTCAGCTACAGTACCCAGGGGGAGCAGGAAAGGTGTTTAACCCTCTCCTGCCTGCAATTATTCTGCAGCCTCTCTGTTTCTCCCTCTGCCCCAACTATTTTCTCAACCGTTCTCTCCAATCTCAGAGTCTGGAAAGCTCTGAAGGAAAGCAGCAAGGGAGAAGGAAGGTGGGAATTAATGGGTGGGGTAGGAGAGGGTTCTGCACTCTTCTTCTCCCCGTTGCTTCTTCGTTCCACACTGCTTTGAAGATCCCAGGCAAACATGGAGCTCTGCCACTAAATGAAGCTCAAAATGGTGGAACGTTTCACCTAGGAAGATCCAATTGCCTCTTCCACTGTGATGGTTTCTCATGAAGGCCCTCCACCCCACATTCTTTTAAAAAATCCAGCAAGTGTTTAACTTTCCAGGCAGCTGTATTGCTCTTGTTTGTTTGTTTTATCACTTGCCACCACTTCTCATTTCATTTATTTATTTGACTGCACCTATATCCTGCCTTTCCTCCAAGGAGCTCAAAGTTGTGTACATTGTTCTCCACATGTTATCCTTGCCCAAGTTCACCCAGAGGACTTCATGTCTGAGTGTGGATTTGAAGGCTGGTCTTCCAGGTCCCAGCCCAACACTCTAACCACCACACCACACTGGGTCTTCAATTACAACTCCGATTTTTGTGAGCCGTTTTCCTTGTTCCTTTAGTGGAAACCATTATAGCTCAGTAATAGGGGATGTAGTTGCATGCAAAAGCTCCAATTCAATCCCCTCCAGGGAGGGAAGAATCCTGCCAGACAGCCTGGAGAACTGCTGCCAGTCAGTGAAGACAATACTGAACTAGATAGAGGCTTGCTATAATGCTTCTTTCTATGCTCGATGGCCTTATTTATAGCTTTGTACTCAATGTACTGCATTTTATTGATGGATGTAAACCTCTTTGAGTATCTCTTTGAGGCACAAAGTGCTGGGGATCAGCAAACAAATAAATCAATTAAAGTCAGGGACTGTGATACAGACCGCCATTTAGCAAGTGGTAACTCATAACACTGCTTATATAACCCTTTTGTTATCTCAGTCCTGGTGGGAAAGGACTGTAGCACAGTGGTAGGACACATGGCTTGAACGCTGAATGCCCCTTGTTCAATTCTTGGCAACCCCAGGAAGGGATGGTTGGGGGAAATCCCCTACCTGAAACCATGGAAAGATTCTCTGGCAGCCACAGTAGTGAATATATTTGGTATAAGGCAGCTTTGTTCAGATAATTGGCCAAACTATCCTGGGGTGAGTTTCTTGGGGAGAGGGGAGCCTCAGGCTTGGGGACCCAAATACAGCACCCCTAGACTCCTGGGTCTCTCTCTTGACTGCACCCCCTTCCCAGCCAGACTCTCTCTCCTCAGGCCACACCTCGCACCTCCATCACTCTGCCATTGCATGTTGTGGCTTGGCTGGAAAGTGTCACTAAACTCTGAAAAATGCTTCTTGCTTGCCTGGGTAGATGATGGAGAGAGTTCCCTGGCCCTCACTGCTGGACTCCCCACTTGGCTTCTGTGTACATCAGATTAGCACACAGGCAAAGCACAAGATACATGCTGCAGCAGGTACACAAGAGGTATAGCTGGTACACAATATGGCTAAGTGCAAGCTAAGATGCTGATCAAACAAGTGGCATGCCCCCCTGCACCTTTCTTTGGAAAAATGGGGTGGGCACGAGCAACCAGAGCAAGCAGACCTTCACGTGGGTTGGGCCTCTCCATGGTTTGTTTACACCATCACTGGTGTCTCTGCGTCCTTGGAAATACAGGCGGTGTCAGCACTGGCTCATGGTCAGATTTAGTCTCCATCACTTCCCCAGGCTCCTCACTAGCAGGTGAAGGCACCAGAGGTGGCTCCACAGCAGGAGGTTTCTGGGTAGGGGTGTCCAATGTCACAGCGGTGGGACATCCTTCTGCTTGGTCCCTCCCCTGAATCCAGCTCTCCACCCTCTAGACTGTTGGTTGCATCCCCAGGCTTAGACCCTTCCTGAAGTTCCAATTTCACCTTGCCCATCCCACTGGGACCCTCCCCAGGGTCATCCAGCGCCAACCCCCTGAGCTCTTCCCATTTCTCCTCAGGATCCGACCATCCCCACCAAGACACCTCCACAGAACTTGTGACAGGGACAGTGTGGGTGTGCATAGATGCAAGCCTACTACACCAAGGTAATATTTGCATTCATTTCTCCTCCTACCTCTGCCTCTGGCCCCGTGCATTGCTGCCATGTGGCCCCCGCAGGATTGCCTTGAAGGGAATTTGGTCCTTGGTTTGAAAAAGCTCCCTCATGTCTTCCTTTGGCCTTGCCTTTTGTCAGCTGCCTGCAAGCAATTGCCTCTACAACAGATGGCCCCTTTGAGACAGAGTAGACTGAGTCAACCCTCATGTAAGGATATGCTGGCAGGATGTAAATAATGATTTTCATGGTGGAATAAAAATATTTGGGGAATTAATTCCCCCTCATCGCAAAGGTGACTTGTCAAAGGGCTTTCTCGAGCTATACCTGCTGCTGCTTTGTTTTTCCTTTACAACGTCTTGAATTCTATTAAAAGACAAACAAATTTCCCCGTCATTAGGCACCTTGCTGACACCACCTGCCATTCTGTCACTCACAGCTAGAGACAGGGACCTCCGTGCTTTGCCTGACAGATTTAGACAGAAAAATAGAAGGAAGCGGAGCTGGAGCACCTGTGCCTGCAAGGGCAATAATGGGATTACCGTTACCCCAAATGTGCACTGCAGAGAAAGGAGAGGAGGGAAATAATAATCACAAGGTGTAGCTAGGTCCTCCCCATCAAATGTCATTATGCTTCTCCATCTCAAAAAGCTTTTACCTGGCTTGCACAGATGTACGAAACACCTAGAGGGGAGAGAGATAGGACTGCTGCAGAGCTTAGGAACTTTTGGTTCCCCCCTCTCATTGAAATCTTTCAATTCCAGCTGGTCATTACAAAGCCTCTGTAGCTTGAAGAATGCCCTGATGCCCGGGCTTTCTTGTTCTATTCTTCTCAGCCGAGTGTGAAGACAGGGATTGCCTTATTGCTGGCATTTGTAAGTTGCTCTGGGCTCTTTTAGCTGAAAAGCAAGATAAAAATTACATAACATGGGCAGACCCTCAGAGTGCCCTCTTTTCCAGGGACAGTCCCGGATTTACAGAAGCCGTCCTGGTTTCTGTTTTGATCCTGGAATGTCCCATTTTTCTTTAGCTTGTGTCTATTTTCATCAGAGAAAAGTTGGAGGGTGTGGAGTTATGCAAACCCCGAGACGTGGAGATAAGTAACTATAAAACCTTTAGAGGACATCTGAAGGTAGCCCTGAAGGGAAGTTTGTTTTTTTAATGTTTAATATTTTAATATATGCTGGAAGCCACCCAGAGTGGCTGGGACAACCCAGTCAGATGGGTGGTATATAAATAAGATTATTACTATTACTATTATGGAATAGGACGTCCCTATATAGGATGGAGAAATGTTGGAGGGTATGGATCAAGCCAAAGGGCCATCTAACTCAGAATCTTGTTCTCACAGTGGCCAACCAGATGTCAGGCTGGGCAGAAGAAGAGGAATGGGGGAGACCGCCTCCCCATCCTGACCCTTCCAGGGAGGAGGACGACAGTGGTTTGCGGGAGGTCACAGCTCAGAGGCAAATGAGGTGAAAAGTTGGGAAATAATGGGAGAGGAGGATCAGGCAGAGTTGGAGTAGCCGCTGGCTGTCACATCACTAGAAAGCATTCTAGACCGACATCTCTCAGAACCCGGCGAGCCTTAAAAGTAGGAGAGTAAAGAGCTCAAAGACAGAGGGCACTTAGCGGTTCCCATAGAGGAGGTGATGACGACGACGAATGAGGAAGTGTGAGAGACGGAGAGTGGAGATTCTCCCAGGACAATGCCATTATCCAAGAGGCTGATTTCTAAAGCCTTTCTCTGTAAAGTTTAAAATAAAAAAGGACTGTAAGAAACTTTTCCTTGTCTTTATAATTTCCTGGGCAACCAGCTGAGAGCCGCTGACAGTACGCTGATACCAGATGCCTTTTGGTATCTCGTAAGCAAGACCTGAGGGCAACAACATTCTCCCCATTTAACATAATATATTATAAATGAAAAAGAATCAACAGCATTTCTTTTTAATTGCTATTAATTGCTATGAAAGAGCAAGAGAGTTTACAGCAGCTAAGACTTCTCACTTTCAGACTGTCACGTCAACGGTAACTTTCATAACAAGCCCGCCCTCCCCCCCCGTCTCTACGACACTCAGAAGGTGACATGCTATGCCCATTGTGGTATTGTTCATAGGAGCCTCACATAAAGTGAGCTGGGTGTGGGGAAGGACTCAGGGAAGGTAGAAAGAAAGGAAGTCTCTCCCCCTCCCTGAGTTGCCTTTGTGCCTAAAAGACGATAGTTGCACCACATGCTCCTTTATCTGCGATTCCCCCTGTTGATATTGTATTATATAAAATGGAATGCTTGACCTGTCGAAGGAATAAAGACTTTCTGCTGTCACGCACAGACTAGCTGCGTTGTTGCAGGGACTCTGGGAAACCAGCTGAGATTGCTTATGATCCAAAGCCCCTTGAAATCAATGTGAGAAGTTTTATTAACTTCAATGAGCTTTTGGATCAAGCTCGGTATGGGATGTCGGAATGCAAGTGTGTTATGTACAAGTGCCGAACTGCTCAGACGGCAGGCTCCAGCCGTGTAGAAAAGCACGGCGATAAAATCAATAACAGCAGCAGCTTTTGCTCAAAAGAAAAGGACTCCTGGAGATTAGACTTGAATTACAAGCCGTGCCCTTTGTGACAAGCCAGCCAATTGCTGGGCACCGTAATGCACCAAGTAGGCTTTCTGGTGTGGGGCTGGCATAGGGAAGTGGGAATTTGAGTGGATCTGAACCACAAAACAATTTTGTCGTTGTTGTTGTGGTAGGGAGGGGAAATCTAGACAGGGTTGAGGCCTAGTTCACAAAAATAGCAGACGAGGTGGTAAAACTCCTTATGGGATGCACCAGTTTAGAGTTTGGAGGGTGAAATACACATGACTAAATGTTCCTTGAATAATATAATTTAAAAGTACCCTCTCACACATGTACACATAGAAAATTAAATGCCAGAAATAGCTCTGGTTTTTCTGTCTCCTCCTTATTTGATAGCCTATATCTGCAGAGGTTTTTGGTGGTCTTTTTTCCTGTGGGGAGTTTTTGAATATGTAATCTCCCACTTGCAAAGTGAAGTAGTACAGTACAGAAATAGTTTTTTCAACCTCACCTGTTGACTGGACCTTGGTTGCTTACCATGGCATTTCCTACAACCTAAGTATTATAATAAATAAGAGCCAGCATTTGGAGAATGACTTTTTTCTTGCTGCTGAGGAACCACAACCAGTCATCCTGTATGTTGACGGAGGAGAATTCCTTTCAAGTTGAACAAATCATGATGCACCTTAGAGTTTCAGCTCCATTAAATGGACCTAGTCATGACTTCAGAAAAGCACAGGAAGAGTTAGAACTGTGTATTGTTAATATATGAATGATGCTAAAAATATTTGCTAAGTCTCCACATAGACTTGACAGCTTCATAACAATTGGAACCATTTTCAGTGAAGATATAAAAATGCCTTTTGACCTTGAAAAATATTCAACTTAAAAGTAAAAAAAGGAAGATCCTCTGCAAGAGGAACACGTTGTAACCACTAATTTGTTACCTACACATCACTGCCGCTCACCTGCAAGTACCTGGAGATCAGGAAGAACTACTAAATAGATCACTCAAGTTTAAATCCTCTTACCAGAATCTCTATAAGGGACTCCCCAAAATACCACAAACTAAGCTTACAGCTAAGAATAAAATAAATGCAATTAATACCTGGGCAGAACCAGCTCTGACTTACTCCATGGGTACCGTTAAGTGGTCTAATGCTTATTTGAACAAGCTTGATAGATTAACCTGCAGATTTCTGACAAAGTTCAGGATGCATCATTCGAATGTCTCAGTGGAAAGACTAAAGATCTGAAGGAGATGGGGGATTAATGCATGGATACATGGATTCTGCAAACATTAGGCATAGAAACTCATGACGTAGCAGCTGATGTTATGGTTCTCCAATCAGCATTGTAGAGCTGAAATAAAATGGGTCTATCCTATTCACAGGTGGTAAATTTGGAGAGGTTGGGTGGGGGTAAAATTTCAGAAGTAGCCATTGAGCACTGGTGGATGTAACATTTGAGAGCCATCACTGCCTTCACTTGGTTTGTCTCCCTTCCCAAAATGGCTACTGTTTTTGGCCCCCCCCCCATGAAGTCAGATTCACAAGTCTCTGATTTTGTCACACAATTTGGAGTGGAGTATTCAAACAGAGAACTTTCAGCTCAACAACACTATTCCACCCCACCCGCACACACCCCAAAGAAAAATCCTTCAGTGAAAAACCATTCTGGCCAGCTGGAAGAATTGAAACATGAAAATCGAAAGCATGAGGAATACCCAGAGGCTATTAATGGAGGAACTGTGGAAGTAATCTAATCAATGGAGTAAGTGGCTAACGGGCAGCAAGCCAACTGAAAACACTGAGGCTTTGATCCTGTTGACATTTTTGTGAGTGTAGCACTTACTTCCGAGTAGACATGCATAGGGCCTTGACAGCTAGGTTTGAGCACTGGTGCTCAAGTCTCCTGAAATTGCCAACAATAACTATCAAAAATATATAACAAAAGCCACAGGCTCAAGTCCTATTCAGAGCACGTGATGATTTAAAGCCTAGAGAGGACACAGATATGCACACAATTCCCAACCCCAACATCCCCAAGTGTGGCTTTTTGTCTCATGTGTGAGAGCACCTCTTCAGCCCTTCACATGTTCAGTATAAAAGCCAGAAGAGGGTAGACACTTCCCCGTGATCAAGAACTTTAATTTCCCAGCCATAGGGAAGCTTCTGAACATTCCCAGCTAAATAATAATAACAATTTTTAAGCGGCGAAGGAAAACTTTGGCGATGGATGTGCAAAGTTCTAAAGCAGAGTCTACATTTGTGTGGATGATGTGTGAGCGGCTTGTGTGCATGCCTCATCCCTCACATATTCAGGGGGAATGCTTGTATAAGACAACTGCCTCTTGTAAAAAAAATAAAATGCAAAGAAAACCTAGAAACCAGCATGTTACATAGGCTACCCTTTCTTCGGCAATGTGAAATATTTTGCCCAGCACTATTTGGTTGCAAAAAAGAATTCCCCACTAGCTTCATATGCATTAGGAAGCGGCTCCCTTTTGTACAAATTTATAATCCCGAACCAGTTGTTTGTAATGGTGATGATTACACTTTGTATTGGGATGATAAACCTATTATAACAGATAAAACAAATAGATTACAATCGGCCACTTGTAATTCTGGCGAACAAAACAAATTGAAACAGCTACTATAACAGATGTGGCAATTCCTCTAAAAAAATAGAATGAAAAAAATAAGGACTACCACATAATTTTATAAATAAAACATGCCGAGAAAATCAAGACAATTCATACAGAACTGCTATTAATATCAGCTACGGAATCTCTCCCCACAATTCCCCAGTGCTAAACTCAGAGAAAATAAATGTACCTGTATTTTGATATTATTATTATTATTATTATTATTATTATTGGCATACTTTATAGGGCTTCTATAAAGATGACTGCAATAATGTATGTGAACTGCACCGAACAGCTGAACTATTTAAAAAAATGTAAAGTAAAACATTTGGAATGTGCTATGTAACTGTGAAGTGGGCTGCTTGGATCTAACTTGCCCCTGTTTTGATATCCATTACAGAGACATTTTTCCAATGTATTTCTGTTTTTTTTAATTGTGTACATACCTGGAAAAGTGCCAGGTCCTCAAAGGCCACACACCTGGTTGGATGGACATGTGATGAGTTTTCTTTTGAATGACTATAATTCAGCTACACACATTTCCATCTTCGGAATAAAGTGTGAACACATGGCCATCCATGAGCAGAGAGCTAGAGCTACAGGTGTGCACTCTGAGGGAGCAACCCCATGCAGAACAACAGCAACAACAACAACAACAACAACAATAACGACTTATTATTTATACCCCGCCCATCTGGCTGGGTTTCCCCAGCCACTCTGGGCAGCTTCCAACAGAATATTCAAATACAATAATCTATTAAAGATTAAAAGCTTCCCTAAACAGGGCTGCCTTCAGGTGTCTTCTAAAAGTCTGGTAGTTCTTCTTCTCTTTGACATCTGGTGGGAGGGTGTTCCACAGGGTGGGTGCCACTACTGAGAAGGCCCTCTGCCTGGTTCCCTGTAACTTGGCTTTTCACAGTGAGGGAATTGCCAGAAAGCCCATGTCGCTGGACCTCAGTGTCCAGGCAGAACGATGGGGGTGGAGACGCTCCTTCAGGTATACTGGACCGAGGCCGTTTAGTGCAAAGAAAGCTGGTGTCAGCTGTGCTGTGGTAAAGTTGCACCCGATCCAAAGCCTGGGCTGCTGTTGCTGCTCTATCCACAATAGTGTCCTGTGCTGGGTTCCCAGGTCACTTGACCAAGCTGAGCAGGCTTAGGATCCAGCCTAAGTCCTTACTCTCTGGTTCTGGCTCACCAAAACCCCAGAATGCCCCCTCCTTTTTGAAGGAACTCACACCAGCTCAGTCAACTTCAGCTCAGTAGGATGAGCAAGTTATGCAGACATCTCAACTGAGCTGGAGTTGGGGACTTGACTCCAACTGAGCCCAGCTGAGACAGGATGCAGCTGACTGGGCCACAGATCAGCTGCATTCTAAGCTGCTGATCCCAGTGGATCTTGCTATGGGATTCTCCCCTTAGTCAGTTATTGGTAATGGCACCACCAACCACTTATTTGGGTAGGTGCGGACAATAACAAGACTAAATGCAGCCCCTTTCTTCCTCTGTGTAACAAAACAGGCGATTGGCACTATTGCTAAGATTATGAACAAGGCAGTGTACACGGACAAATGGCTAGGGCCTTCCTATAACTTTGACAAATATTTGCACACAAACACCCCCCTCCCCTGAAAATAAAGGCTTTCCTGAAAGAAGTGTGTGTGTGTGTGTGTGTGTGTGTGTGTGTGATTGTATGTTGTTTGCTTGTGCCATGTTTCTTCTACTGAGACTACTTACTTGCAAATGATCCCAGCCAATCAGAGATCATGTTCAGGATGCAAAACAGAGCATCAGATTCAGTACTGTGGCATCTCTCAAGGCCAATGCAGTTAATTCCAAGGCAATGCTTCCTGAATTTCATCGCAGGGGAAAGAGGGAAAGTATGGCTACTGTTGTGGCCAGCTTCATGTCTGAACACTGAAGTACTTTAAGTACGTCAGGCAAAACGTGTGTGTGTGTGTGTGTGTGTGAGAGAGAGAGAGAGAGAGAGAGAGAGAGAGTTGGGGTGAGGCTTTTTGTCACCTGAGAAAACTCTCTCTTTGTGTGTTGTCTCAGCTCTAGGTTTCATGGGCTTAGGAAGTCCAATTCCTCCCATTAATGCAGTGAACAGCCTAGTCATTGCACTGAAGAATAAAGCTGGAACAAGGAAATAAGGCAAAATAAGCAAATCTTGCAAAGGACGCTGCCGTGGTGACAGTAAAGAACAAGGCATCATGAGACAAACCATGAAGGCTT